TTTTCTCTTTACTGTATGTTTGACATTGATTGTGAGTCAATATGTTACACCAATGCATTTGTTATAAATGCTTACATTTTAAAGTTTATCAGGGTTTTTACCTTACCTGTATCATCAAACATGGAAGAAAAGTATATTAAGGGAAAAATTTCTGTCCATCATTGTCGTCGTTGTTGCCCATGGGCGGCGTCGTCGTTAATAATTGTTGTTGTGTGCACAATAACTTTACTAATTGTATTCCAAACTTCATCAAACTTGGTCACTTCATTCATCAGTTAAAATCTTCCCTTAATATGAAAAACAGATGTCTTGTATGAAAATATCATGCAAAAATTGAGAAAATCTGATAAAATATTTTGACTGTTTCTACTTGACTGATCACTGGTGATAAACATCAAAGGTCACTGATCTCAGTGGAAATATGCATTTTTGTATGTGTTCAATGAAGCAAATCATTTATCTTGTACTGTACTTCCCCGAACATAAGCCCAGGGGCCTGAATATGGAAAATTAGGGGATGGGCTTATACTCGAGGACCACCCACGAAAAATTGTCAAAATTACATTTTTCGTCTTGGAGAAATATTACATTTTTTTGAGGAAAAAAATGCAAAACTATTTGATTTCCATGACACTTTGTACAATGAATAATAATACACACATTTTATTACAATACGGTTTACATACATGTACTGTCTGAATTTACAGTGAAAAAATGGGTAGGGTCTGTGGGGATTGAAACTGTCGCAGGCAAGATTTTTATCATTTATGTTGTAGAGTGTTTTCAATTGTATGCAAACTCGATACAAAGCAATTCCCGCCATAATGTTTTTCATAATGATTTGACCTGAAACAACTTCCTTTGACCTAACCATTTACGTCTTTCGTTAACCAATCAAAATGCCGTTTCATACAAAGATTTCTGATTATTGACGAAGTAATTTTTTAAACACAATGCAGAAGTGAATTACCACAATGTTGACTTTGACAACAAAAAACTGATTTTTTTCCCTAAAAGCTGCTGATATGCAATTTTTGAGGGTGGAGAAAGTATTCGCCAACAAGTCTTGTCGAACAATAGTTTGCTCATTCACACCCAATTCACGATAGTCTCAATGGACATGATTATTCAGAAAAGTAAAATAATGTTCTATGACCAGGTTTCACGACTTGACAATCACATTTTTGGCATTTCGAAAACTACACTTTTTACATGCATATTTTAATAAATGTCATCGATGCCCGGTAAAAACACTTGGGATGCCCTCTACTCGTGGGCTAATACTCGAGAGGGGCTTATGATCGGGGAAGTACAGTAATAATATCCATGGTAATGTATCCCAAATTCCATGGAAATACTAGACTGGGTTTCAAAACCAACTTGAGTCTTGTACACATTTGCAAGCCTACCAATAAAACCTTAACAGAAAATGAGATGTCAGAAAATCAATAAAAGCACTCGTATGAATTGGGTGCCAAACTTTTGATCAAGATCTGAAGCCAATAGAAAACTACGTCCAAAGTTATGAAATCAAAAAACAACACATAAAAAGTAAAACGTTGCATCCACATTTTGAAAAGAAAATTGTACTAAAAAATATGTATTCTGTATTTGACAAACAGTTCATTCTACAATTGAAAATCAAAATTCACTAAAATTTGTTTCAGCTATTAGAACAGAATGATAGAACTTTTATAATACTAATTTAAAAATGTACTTCAAAAACAAAGATTGCAGTGTTTGAAGATGTAGATTCTCAGAAGGAAACGGTACTGTTGACTTCTCTCTCCACTGGATACCAACTATTTG